ACTTTTGCAGACAGGTCTTCGGGCCAATTTTTCTATTATAGAACACAACCCCAAATGTACAGGACTATTAACCACTTGGATGCTATTTTGTAGTACTATAGCAACTTGAGTTTTCTAAAATGCATTTTATAAACCTGTAGCCAAGTGTACCTTAAGCTATTTTTGGTACTGAGATTTATTTTTTGAAATACAAGGTCTGATTCAGAGCCCACTGACGTCAATGGAAAGACTGCCACTGACTTCAGTAGAGTTTGGATCAGGCCCATAGCCATAAAGGCCCGAAATAGAGCCAACTAAACTCACTGGAAATGATTTCATTGACTTCAGTGGAGTTTGGTGTAGTCCCTATGTTAAGATTTGCAAGGTGGCTTTTGGGTATTTCCAGTAGCTTTGGAACTAAAACCCTGGATCCATAACACTCCTGATGGGGGAGATTTGAAATCCAGATCTGAGCTGAACCTACCTACATTTTGGGATATTTGGATACACTGGCCAAATTTTGCTCCAATTTACATATATGCAAATCTGAAGTATCACCACTGAAGGCAATTAATTGAAACCAATGCAACTGAGAGAAGAATATGTGTCAGTGTTTTTACTTGGCCAATTATTAGAATTGGCTTGGGTTGTGCCCTCTGTGTGAACCTAAGCCAGAGATTAGTTTCAAGCTCTCGTGGTTCAGCATGGATTGGGGCCCTCTCTTGTTAACCTTTCTTAATACACACAATTATATCGACATCCTGCTGTTTCTTGCTATGAACTCATATGAGACAACAAGGTCATTCTGCCATTAGCTCCCAGTACATATGTGCACATACCAATGAAAATGGACCTCTAAATATCCATTTTAAAAATGTGGAAGTCAATCTGGTCCACCCCGTACATGTGTTTTAGGACTTTCTAGAACCTTCCCATAGAAATCAAGTACAAACAAGGCTCTATTTTAAGATGGTCCATAATAAATTGACAAAAGCCAGGAAGGTGCTTACTTTAGTGCTGTAAATTTGCAGAGTACTGGAAAGCTGAGCCAAAGAAATAAGTTGTCTTCATCAGAGGGCATGCACTGCAATGGCCCAAGCTGGCATAGTACAGAACAATACAATACAGAGACTGAAGAATGGGAAAGTTTAACAGAGTCCCCTGTAGTATCACAGTGCCTCATTAACGTTTACGCATTTATCTTCAACACCCTTGTGAAATACAGAAATATTACTCCCTCTCTTACAGAAGAAAGAACTGAGGCACAAAGATGAAGCAAGTTGCTCAAAGTCACACACAGAGTGGCAGAGCTCAGAACTGAAATCAGCTATCGCAAGTTAAAGCCCTGGACTTAGATTGCAAGACCATCACTCTTTCTGTCTTAGCTTACAAGTTCCTGGCTTTTGTCAGTTTGTCACAGCTTACATTCAATAACAACAACAACAACAAAAACAACAAACATTATGCAAAATACACACTGTTGTAAGTAGTTTCCATATCCTTGTCTTAAAACTTCAGTTGTGGTTGTCTGGCTATTTTAGAGAGGAGCTCAAGTTGCAGAGCTTGATTCCCCAGTAGCATAGGCTATTCATATCTGGGATTTTGGTTCCATCCATGAGAGAGAAGATCCAGCTGTCTAGTTCCATTTGAATCTGGACCTTAGGGTCAAACTCATCTCTAGTGATTTTACTTGCTACACGGGGAAACTTCCTCCAAAAAGCAAGGAAGACAATGAATGGAAGTTACAAGCACAGAAGAGACTCAGGGCTTGGCTTGCGAGTTACAGTGCAATAAATGAGACTCGGGCGCCCTAGCTCACTCCCCGTCCACACTGGCAAGGCATGTAGAGCGCTCTGACTCCGCGGCTACAGTGCTGCTGGTACTCCACCTCGGCGAGAGGAATAACGTTTGCTGCGCCTTGGCTACAATGCCCGGTCATTAGTGTGAACAAGGTGTTGCATTACTGCGCTCTGACTGGCCTCCAGAAATGTCCCATAATCCCCTTAAGTCAAGTGGCCACTCTTGTCATTGTTTTGAATCACTGTAGGAATGCGGAAATGCCCTTTCAAAGCTCTGTTTCTGACAGCCCACATGCAAGCCGTTACTGTGGAATCCTGTGTGTGAGCGAGAGAGGCAGAGGGAGGGGCAGGTCTACTGCTGTCTGAACTTACAAGACAACATGCTGACATGCTCTCAGCCCCCCAAAACCCCACTCTCTCTCCCCCCACATACACACAACACACTCCCTGTCACACTCCACCCCACCTCTCCCATTTGAAAAGCACGTTGCAGTCACTTGCATGCTGGGATAGCTGCCCATAATGCACCGCTCCCAATGCCGCTGCAAGTGCCACAAATGTGGCCACGCCACTGCGCTTGCAGCTGTCAGTGTGGACAGATTGCAGCGCTTTCCCTACTGCGCTCTACGAAGGCTGGTTTAACTCAAAGCACTCTACACCTGCAAGTGTAGCCATGCCCTCAGTGAAGAACAATTGTTAATGTTAAATACAAACATCAGTGCAAACCACACAGAGGGCTTTTTTATTTGTTAGTATTTTCATATTTTCTCTAAAGTGGTCATAAAGCTGAAATTTTAAAGGCAGGCATAGTCACAACCTTTGGCAAAAATGTAATCAAATTTAAAGATGTAAATTCACATATGGAATCTGCATTTGGTGGAGTTTCCATTGGTCCTACATATAAGCGTGCAGACTGCTTTGTCTGTGTATAGGATCAATGTCCGTTAAAGTCAACAGATGCTTCATTCTTTTTTACAATATTTTTTTCAGCACTGTGCTTGTTTCAAAAAAGGACCAGATTCCAAAGTTGTTACATTTTTGGGTAAAAGGCTTGCTTAGCATGCTTTAAAATGCCTTGAAGTTGGAACTGTTTTTTTAAAAAACCTATAAATCTGTGTGCTTAAAGGCCAGCACCTAAATCCATGTTTAAGCACCTAAATAAGTGGCTTGATTTTCAAAGTTGGTGAGCACCACAGCTTCCCTTGACATCAGTGGAATTTTTAAATGCTCAGCACCTCTGAAAATCAGGCTACCCTTATTTAAGTGCCTAAAACCAAAAAACCGTTAACTAAAAATTGTGGCGTTGGTACCTAATGTTATGCACCCAAACTTGAAAAATGTGACCAATAAGCATAAGTTTGAGGAACACTGATTTTCTTGTTGAGAACTGCTCAGTGTTCATTCAGCATGGCTGCAATTGATGTCACATCTGAATCTACAACTGATTAGTTTTTAATGGCGCGACAAGGTGGATGAGATAATATCTTTTATTGGACCAACTTCTGCTGGTGAGAGAGTCAAGTTTTTGAATCACATAGAGCTGCTCTTCAGGTCTGGGAAAGGTACTCTGAGCATCAAAAATTTAAATTCATTACTCAGCTAGACACTAAAAATCATGGACTGAACAGAGACACTGGATTTATGGCTTATTACAACAATCTGTAACCCACTAACCCCCCCTTTTTGTCCTATGACTGAGGAGGTGTTAATGGGCCACTCTGCCTTAAATGGTCCCTTAGCATATGTGCTAACTATTTATGAAAAACAATCTGTTCCACCTTGCATTTTGCTGTGATGCTGGGAGTACCTTTCCCACCAGAGCTGAAGAAGAGCTCTGTGTGGCTCAATAGCTTGTCTCCCTCACCCACAGAAGTTGGTCCAATGAAAGACATTACCTTACCCACCTTGTGTGTCTAATATCCTGGGACCGACATGGCTACAACTACACTGCATACAACAGTGTTTAATAAGTATTTAGCAAATTGCAATGCTGGACAAGGCTAATCAGCTATTAACCAAGTAGTTAGTGACACGCTACTTCTTGCAACAGAAGCTCTATGACATAATCTTGAACAAATGAAATTAGATAGCCTAAAAGTGCACAACTTTTTTGTTTTTGAAGCAGTGAGCTTTAGGTCGACTGTTATGTGCCTTCTAGAGAGGACTCACTTTCTTCACAGGTTTTCAGCAAGCCACTTTATGTAACTGTCCCTGGTCCGATGTCCTGAAGAGAAATTGGTAGGCCAAATAGTAAAGATCATGCAGCCATGAAAGCAGTCATCAAAGTGATCAAGTGTGACCTCCACACCTGTGCTCTCCAACCGTTTGGCATACATTATTCCATCATCTCTCAGGACATCATTCTCGCAAGTCAGGATGTAGGTCTTTGGCTGAAGCTGGAAAATTTCTTTTTCTGCTAGCAATGGAGCTGCACGTATGTCAAGTAGTGCAGGTATTTCCTGGATGATTTCGGCCTTCCCTGTGGGTTGTATCACAGGTTTGTAATTCTTTTTGAACGTCGAAGGCAGGAGAGAAGTCCAGTTCAGACGTCCCCTGAAATAAACAGCCTGGCTTACGTCCAGGGAAGTGTGGTTGTTGATCAGCATTGAGGGGGCAAAGTCATAGTTACCATTGAAATAGTCTATCCAAAACTTCACCATGACGAAGCGAGGAAGAACAGGCATGTCAGTGTTCTGCTGGTATGAAGGAGTGTTAAAGTCCAATGCCTGAAGGACTGGATAGATTAAAGCCTGCAGCTTCAGTTTGTTGGTCACACTGTCATCTAGACTAAGCTGTAGGAAAAACACAGGACAGAATCCAGACTGTAAAAAAGCGGTCATTGCTTATGCTGTGTCTGATCCTACATCACTGATTCCACAATTCATTCCCCCAAGAGGAGAGAAACCACCATTTGGTGTTTTATGGACAAATGCTCTGCTGCTGTAACTCCGCTGCAGAGAATTTTGCTCTTAGTCTGGAATATTAACAGTCTAGATCTGATTCTGTTCTCACCTGCACTGCTTTTACACCAGTGATTTCAATGGAGTCAGAGCTGATTCACACCAGTATACGTGAGAATAAGGCCATGTCTACACTAGCAAGCTTACAGCGGCACAGTTTTACTGATGCAGTTCTATGCAGATGGGAGAGAGCTCTTCCGTTGACATAATAAAACCACCTCAACGAGTGGTGGTAGCTATGTTAGCAGGAGAAGCTCTCCCGCCGACATAGCGCTGTGCACACTACCACTTATGCCGGCAAAACTTATATCGCTCAGGGGTATGTGTTTTTCATGCCCCCGACCAACATGTTTTGCCAGCATAAGTGGTAGTGTAGACATGGTGTAAGACATGCCATTTCCAAAAAAGGGATGCTTTCCTGGGTACTAGTCCTAAAGAACTGACTTGCTTTGGTAATTGCCCCTTATTGATTGATTAATGGTAATTACCCCTTATTAAGGCTGCCTTAAAAATTCCAACCAGATCAAATTCAGACTAATTTAGATTAGAAATACATATGGTATGAACAGCAGGGAAAATAGATTTTTCCTACAATTGAATTCTAACTCTTCTGTTAAATTGTCTTCCTGTGAGGAAAAAAATGCCATTTCATTAAAAAAATTATTTCCCCTTCATTTGTATTAAAAGAAATAAGGTCATTTTCAAAGACGGGCAGTTGCAAAAATTGCTTATTCACAAAATAGGGAACTGAATTTATGAATTATGCATTTATATGCCCACTTAGCAATTTATGCAGGCAAATAAAGGATTCACGAGCACAGTGGGTAAAGGTTGGTACCTAAATTGCACTTTTAAAATCTGGCCCATAACAACTTATAAAAGCAGTAAGACTTTCTAGCACTGCTTGATTCAGAAATAACTGACAGGTCTTAACTTATGTAAAATATCTAGCAGCTGGCTTTGACAGTGAACCACTACCATTCTATCTCGAAAGCTAGTCTGTCACTTTGCGATGATGCAGCACAAATAATCTGTCTACACATGTGCACTGCTGGAATATGGATTGTTATTGTGATAGATACAGGCAGTGGATGTTACCTGCTGGCACACAGCAGCAGCCAAATTTCCTCCTGCGCTATCACCAGAAATTGCAATTCGACCTGGGTCAACTGAGTATTTAGCTAGGATGTCAGACCGCAGAAAATACTTCGTTGCACGTAAAGTATCGTGGAATTGCTCAGGGAAATGAACCTCTGGTACCAGCCTGTACCTACAAAAGAAGAAAGAGGCTTACATAGGATAATCATTATACACAGAAAATGTACCTTTCTAGCAGGACTATTATGTGCTATAAGGT